TACACATGACGCGAATGCAAATAAAAAATTTAAATTGTACAATTTTTTGTTTACAATTTGTCTAATGGGTTGATTTGTTTAATAACGAAAATCTACTCTCTCCGGAAGTAAGGCATCTAAATAAAATTTTTCTAGGGCTCTATCATATTATTTTCCCAAAATTTATCATCTCGTTGAATTAAGCACTATTTAAATTGGACATTTTATATATTTCTACGATAGCGTTTTTGTTTATTAAGCCGTCTGGCGATCCCGCTAAAAATATACAAACCGCATTGTCTTATTGTCAGTTTGGTGCTTTCAGTTGCCCTTGCTTCATTTTCGATGCAAAGAATTTGGGGGAGTACATGCTGAATTAGATTTGCAGGAATGTAAAATGTTTTTCACAGTAAAGTAGGATTAGCCGTGTTACTTGTTCTCTCATTTTGCAAATTTTACCAAAATAACGTTTGGCTAGTCTAAAGGATTTTTCTGCGCACCATTCTGGATTATTGCGTTCGCCAATTGTGTTTTGTTCGATTAAAAAGACATCAACGTTAGAAAGTTTTTTGAGAAATACTGTTTGCGCTGTGACATATCAGGTATTTCAACTGCCTCCTTAGATACATCGTCGCCCGAGAACTTGTATGATCCACAGACCGGATCGCGCTCAGGCCAATGTCGACTCTATAAGCCTCCAGAAATTCTGCGGGAAATAGTTATTATTTAGATGCTTTTGTTTACACACATCTCACATGTTTCACTCGATTTTGACACTCAACTATTTTTTTGTTTAACTAAGAATTAATACTTTCATTGCGTTTGATACTAACGTCCTAAATTAGCAATACTAGTGGAACGGTAATCATGCAATAGATTTTTTTGGGAAAGTACAGTTATTTTTATGTTTTAGCAGCAATGTGTTCTATTTTCTATTAATTTTTACATATTTTTAATCACAATTTTGGTAGTTATTTTTTACTTTTATTTTTAGCAATAATAAATAGTCCAAACATGAAAAAATAAAAAAAATTAAAATTGGAAAATCTAAAATTTAGAAATCGAGAAATTGAATAATCGTATAATTGAAAAATCGAAACATCGAGAAACGGGAAAATCGAAAAATTAAAATAAATGGAAAATCAGAAATTTAATGAATTCCGAAAATTGAAAAACTGAAATATGCATAGAAGAACTGAAAACTCGAGAAATCGAAAAATCTAGAATTTTAAAAATTGAAATATTAAAATATCGAAAAGTTGATAAATTGCGAAATCGTATCATTGAAACATCGGACAATTGAGAAATCGAAAAATAAAAAAATGGAGAAATCGAAAATTTGAAGAATGGAAAAATTGAAAATGTCAAAAATTAAAATACTGAAAAATTGAAACATCAAAAGTTGAAGAATCGAAAGACCGAAAAGCCGAAAAATCTCAGTAATATATTTATAAACCACAAGTTCAGGATTATGCTACTAAAAAATTGATAACGTCATCTCAAAATTTTACCGAATAAATTCTACTAAAAATGTGCAAAATATGATGAGTTTTTACTTGTAATTTATCATTGCATTCATATTTTTTAGATTTGCTTATATACCTAGGTGGCTCAAAAATTTAATGAATGAGTCAATTTATTCTATTGATTAAATTAAGAACGACTCACTCCATTTTCCCAGAAATTTTGGGAATAATGTTATTTTTAGTCTAATCCACATTGATTTACGTGTCCTTGCAAAATGTTGATAATTTCATCACAAAATTGTGTACCTAAAGTAAAAATTTAACTCGAAAATGCTGGATATGTTTCATTGTATTTTAGGTGCGAGGGAAGTTCTGTCGAAACAACTTTCCACCAATTTGTTTTGCTGTTATATTTGAACATAAACAGTTTATTTTATATATTTTTAAAACATTATAAAGAAAATAAAAAGTTGTGTTAGACTGAACCTTGTGGGTTTCTCAATCTATTTTCCGCAGCATTTTAAACTTTCAACTCAATTTCTTTCAAAATACATACAAATGGATTTCGATGGTTATTTCCCTGTGCTCATAAATGCCAGTAATCAACTGTATTAAAATTGTGCATATTTATCAAAAATTGTACATATTTCTTCGAAATTTTCCTCATAAAAATGCCCAATAAATATTCGCACTTTGAATAAAACATCCCCCTTTATTGGTGTTCTCTGTAGGCAATTTCTTGCTCTCGCTCCACCCAGCAACCCACCTTTCATTTTCCATGAGCCGTATGCAATATGTACCACATTTCAAGTTTCAGCTCGCGCTTTCCCCGCTTTTCCTGAAAAATCGTCTCCGCCCGACTCCCTGAAATAATAATTGCGTCGAAATTTGAGACTGTACCCGTAGTCATTGTGTTCGCGTATTATTCCTTTATAAATTATGTTTGCCGAGCAGAAAGACGCGAACTAACGACTAGAATCGACTGAAAGGGAAGTAACTAAATAAATGAGTCGGCTTTGATGAATAAGGCTCAAGGAAAGTGCTTTGTTTCAAAGATTAATTTAGTAATGTATCCATTCGTCTTTGTTTTCAACGGCGAGGACCTTTCAAGGTGCCGCCCCGTCCCCGCCGCCCCCGAGACACGACACGCGCCGCCAAAAAATCCGGCGCGACGAGGAGAGAAAACACCGCCCCGGTGCTATTTACGCCGACTTCAATTGTCAATATATTCGAGGCACGCTTTTACAAATTGTTTAATTAAATCAAGGAGGCCGGGGAGAGGTAACTCCGACTGTCTTCTCTCTGACTTCACAGCCGCCTTGTGTCTTCAAATTAAATTTAAGACTTGTCTGTTCGCGGCGCTGTGGGAGCCTGAGGGACGTCGGATGCACTCGTCTATTGGGATGCTTGTAATGGCGAGGTTGTCGTCCAGATATCATTTCTGTGGTTGCTAGATGCACCCTCAAGGGCTGCGCGACGTCTGTCAGGGGAGGGGGGAAATGCACTTAACGCATTGTATATGTATACGATTATATCCGGCTAGAAGTACCAACAAATTTAACTCATTTATATTATCATTCCGTCTGTGGTCCTTGACAGGAGAAATTTATTTTTTTGTAATTGTCAAAATGCCTGAATTACTTACTTTTAGCAAGTACTTTTAACCCAAATACCCAAAAAAATCCATTGCGCTTTACAGAAATAAAATATCTTAATAAATAATTGAGTAAACAGGGGCAGAATATTTAAAATTTGTGGTCAAACAAACTTTAGCCATTTTTCTGATCCACTCAATAGAGTCTTATCTTAGCAAGTACTAACCCGCCCACCCACCCTCTATTTTCATAGGGGTATATCATATTCCAAAATCACTCTTATCTTAACAAATACTAGCCCCGCCCACCCACCCTCTATTTTCATGGAAGGTACATCATTTTCCAAAATCTTATCCTAGCAAGGACTTACTATATAGGACCGGAAATAATAAATGTGACAAGAAAGATTTGCTTAAGGGTACAGGAAAATCAAATTTTAAAACAAAATAGACAGAAAAAAGTTTTACAATTATTGAACACTAGTTTAATTTTTGAATAAAGTGTCGTACGCCACTCGAGTATTCCCTAATTTCAAAAAAATTCAACACCATTCTAGCGACTGCATCCATACTTTTTTGACACCCTGTATAATCCGCCTTCTAAATTTTTATCCACGTACCTATACATAATCTTGTTATTTTTTATGTTCATCAAAATAGTTTTATGAGCTGTAGCACCATCTTGTTCTTGACATTGCTAACTTCTTCGATATAAGCCTGGACGAAGTATTCTCATTCACTATTTTTTGACTTCACTTCTAATACCTAAGTCAACTTCCTTTTATTTTTTCGAGTAATTTTCTGCATAAATTTGTTTAAGTCGTTTCCGCCGCAAAACTAATTATAATTATTACTAAATGTTTACCTTGAAAAACCGTTTTAGCAGAAACACACATTCCTACAATAGTTAAATTTGATAAACCCTAGAAATGTCACAGGAATTTTCAACCCTTACACTTTCCCGAAGCTTTGTGAGACAATCACCGAAACCTCCCTTGAAGTAGAATTTAAACCCAAAGGAACTAAATCTGCTTTGAAAGAGCAACTAAAAGTTCATAGACATTATTTAAGCTCCTTTTGTGCCTTCCAGTTCACGTGAAGCGTTCACTTTGAAAGCTTAATGAAAAAAAGCTCTCGCAAACCCCCGAAAACTGTTTTTCTATCAATAAAAAACCGCCACCGTGATTAAAAACCACCCCCGGAACGTTCCACCCCGCCGTGCATCGCACCTCCACCATTCCTGAGTGTAATAATTTCAGCCATAAAATCCTCCTTAAACTTAAACACGACTGAAATCTGAAATCCACACTGAGAAATTCAAATTAGAATTACTTTCCCTACATTAAATACTGCGCCATTTTGATGCAAAAATCAGGGAAAAGTCGACCTTATACCATCACACAAATAAGGGCGAATATCTTAAATAAAATCTAAGGCATATACTTAGGATGAGGGTTGAGTTTTCTAGAGGGATATTTGTGTTGAGCTTTAGAGCTCTGCCAACGAACAAACGTCCTTAAATCAACCCCTCGTAAGCTCCACTTTACCCTGGACCGAATTAAAACGTATAAAGAGGGTGATTTTAAACCCCGGGCTCGGTTAAAGTTAGAAATGAGGGAGCAAACTTCAAGAGGGAATTAAGGAACGCTCGCGCCCCACCAACCCTTGTGTTTTTTTGCGTTTTCTTACGTGAGGGTTTTTACCCGGGGGCGGCGTAACTGGCTTTGTGGAAATAATGACGAATTAATGCTAGGAAATGCCGCAAGGAGGGTATTTCTGATTGTGTAATAATTATCTTTGTCTGGGAAAGCTGTGGAAACGAGACAATATCTTGCTTACGTTTTTATTTTCTCAATCTATTTTAATATAAAAAAACCGACTTCGCCGGCCCCATCTGCACCCAACGCGATTTCCCAATATTGCTAACCATGGCGTGTCTAAAGTTTTCTCATTATTTTCAGATCCCGCATCGAAGTTCGAAGATGAGAATTTTCTGATATTAGAGTGTGTCGCGAAGTAACAACGAACTATGCTCCAACTATCCGAAGTAGAAATTCCTATTCTGAAACTATTCAGGTAATAATATATTTTATTCGCTCATATTCGTGCAGTTTGTAGCGCCTTATCGGGCGTACATTCCCCGAGGTATTTAAATAGGAAGACGTGCGCTCGCATTTCTACCAACCCGATAACGTCAAGTGTTCCTATTAGTCTCTTAGGGACTTTAGTTAAGACGATGTTTAACCGGTTATTGGTAGCATTGTTTTTAGGTGACGATTCTGCGATAGTATCGCGCTTACGAACGATCGCGGCCAAAGGGCGCGCATTCGTAAATTTATCGACTCGTAACCTCGGGAATTAATTCCCTTTATTGGGACATATTTAAGGGACGGAAGGTGCTGGTACCGCCACCAGGAATATACATGCAAATGCAGATCGAACGATAACGAGGATATTATCATAAGCGACGAAACAAAAACGGGAGCCAAAATAGAAAAATTATACTGTAAAGTCAAAAAACGGGAATTTGACGACTGGTTTGAAAATTTTTACTTGCTGTAGTAACATATCGATCCTAATTTTCATTAAAATTTGCATAACACATTAGATGTTTTTCTAAATTTTTGGCAGAAATCATTTTCCTTTTGTCGGTTAGGACATTTTTACAGCTAGAGAAGGATCTCTCAACATCACACAATGCTAGAAGAGAATTTTTAAAATTAGAAATTTCAATGGGTTTCATTTTTTATATTGTGTCTTTTTTTTAAATATGTGCAGTCATTATATTATATTTTTTTGAAAACATGGACTTTGCAATATTAAGCTCCACCTCTCGATCTAACAATGAATGAAAAATTCATCACGACTGAGATAAGGGCGGGTGGGTGGGGCTTGAAAATTGAAAAAAATCAAAACTGTGTAACAACATTTTGCAATTTAAGTCTGAAATTTCGCAAATGTTTTAAGGTTATGGTATTTATGGTAAATAGTTAATCAACATTTTTTCTACATTTTCGCCTTGTAATACTTTCCTGGCAAGTTTAAACTCTCCTATTTGCCTATTTTTGATTATGAGTACCTTTTTGCATTTTTTCGACATAAATATTTTACTTTTTCTGCCTACCATGTTCTAAAATCTGAATTTCCTCATATTTCTTGGGAAAGTCACATTTAATATTTCCGGTACTTGTTAAGATAAGACTGATTTTGGCAAATGATATTTAATTGCTAATTACTAATTATTTTGACATTCGATTGAATCTTAGTTTTTAATTTCAAGAAATTATAATTACTTTCGATTAATTCTCTTTAATTTGATACAATCACTAAAAATCTACATCTACCTCTTAGGGGAAGAAAGTAACCAACTTAAATATTGGCTGTTATTAAGTCTTGCTGACTTTCATTAAACTTAGTTAATTAGAGCAAACAATTAACTAATTCTAAGTACGTTAAATAACATTGTCGTTTTGGATGAATATATGACTTACAATTAATTACGATTAACAATACTTACTTGCTAATGAATTAAGTTTTACGTTCAACAAATTACACGTAATTTAGGTTAATTATAAATGCTTTTTGCTGTGAAATTCATTCACCTACCAAATGAATTTTTATAGTAGCTAAAGTTAATGTAGATAAAAGTAAATAATAATTTCAGTAAATTGCACGTAAGTATACTTAATTGTTACTAATCACATTAGATTCGTCAATAATTGGACTGAACCTGGTCGTAGAATTGGTGTTGTTTAATTTCAAGAAATTATAATTACTTTCTATTAATTCTGATTAATTTCATATAATTACTAGAAACCTTCAACCAAAGTAACTCAGTAGATATACATCAACTATCATTAAATCTAACTGACTCTAATTAACCGTAATAAATTAGAGCCAACAATTAAGTAATTGTAAGTACGTCAAATAACATTATCATTTTGGATCACTTACAGTTAGTTACGATTAACCACAATTAATTTCTAAAAAATTAGCGTTTACATTCAATAAATTATTAAGTCATTTAGGTTAATTATAATCGTTTTTTTGATGTCAGATCTTTCGTCTACTGAGCGATTTTTTGTAGTATCTAAAGTTGATGTATAAAAAAGATCAAAATTCTGCAAAATTATTTATCATAGGAAAATTTAATTTCAATAAGTTGCACATAATTAATCTTATTTAATATTATCATTTTGGCTAAATATATTAATTGCAGTTAATTGCGATTAACCACAAGTAATTTCTAAATAATTAGCTTTCACGTTAAAAAAATTACAAGTATTTTGGGTTAATTATAAATGTTTTTTGTTGTCTACGAAAGAGAATTTTTGTAGTATCTAAAGTTAATGTAGAATAAAGATCTAAAGTTCTTCAAAACTGTTGTTCACAAGAAAATTTAATTTATTACATTAAGTATAATAAAAAATTGCACGTAAGTAAGCTTAATTAGTAATAATCATATTCGATTGGACTGAAAATTGGTTGAATCTGACTGTTAGAAGCAAAAACTCACCGTCAAATTGTTATTTAGTTTTAAGAAATTATAACTGATTTCGATAATTATGTTTAATTTCTTGCAATTACTAGAAACCTACATCTGCCAGTTAGCGAAAGAAAGTAACTCAGTAGTTATATACCAGCTGCCATTAAGTCTAATTGACTCTAATTAAGCTTAGTTAATTAGTACTAACAATAATCATTTTGGATGAATATGTCACTTACAGCTAATTGCGATTAATCACACTTAATTCCTAAAGAATTAACCTTTATATTGAATAAATTACGACTAATTTAGATTAATTATAATTGTTTTATTTTGTGGGATTAGGGCTTGATAATACTATTGATATTATTTTGAAAAAAAAAAAAACAAACTAATATCTACCTTTGTCTTCAAGTTTTGCAACATTTAAATCTATAATTTGAATAGATCTCTGTTTGTTTTTATTAATTTATTTAATTTCCTCAAAGAGTTTATAACAAACGGTAATTTGTTTTATAGAGGAAGAACTTCAAAGCAATTTTTCGAATTTTTTCAAATGCTGTAGACCGAGCCGCAGGCGAGAGTCAAAGTAAAAATGAATTTTTGACACTTGGAAATGCATATAAGTATTAATTTATTTTGAAAGAAACTAATAAGTATTTATATTTGTCATCAAATTTTGGATCTTTTAAATCTATAATGTGATCAGAACTTTACTTTTTAATAATTTCTTCAAAGTCCTTGTAACAAATGGTAATTTGTTTTACAAACGAAGTGCAGAAATGATTGTTTTATGACCTTAATATTTCTTTTGAGGGAATCTAATAGTGTAGAAAAAACTAAACCTCCCCCCTTCCCCCATCTTTTTTCTACATTTCACTGATTTATTTGAGGAATTCTATTTTGAAAAACGGTAGAATCTAAGATTTAAAACAAAGGCAGAAGTGGCCCCGCCCACCCACCCCTATTCTATTTTGATCACTCATTCTATTGGCTCTGAGATGGAAGTTGTAAACTAAAGAAGTAGTACGGGAGCGAGGAGTTTGTTGTAACAAATTTTAGAAAAACGAATATAACTTTATATGAATCTTATAAAGATAAGACTGATTTTGGCAAATGATATATCCTGTAAGAAAATAAAGGGTGGGTGGGTGGGGCTAGTACTTGTTAAGGTAAGGCTGATTTTGGCAGATGATATACGCTTTAGGAAAATAGAGGGTGGGTGGGCGGGGCTAGCATTTGCTAAGATAAGACTAAACAATAGCAAGAGTAGTACTAGAATGAAGAAGGGGGTGTAGAAAAAGTAAACCCAGCCTCCCCCGCCATCTATTTTCTCTAATTCACTGATTTATGTTATGAATTCTATTTTGAAAAATGGTAGAATCTAAGATTTTAAACAAAGTCAGAAGTGGCCCCGCCCACCCACCCCTATTCCGTTTTTATCACTCATTTTACAAGCTCTGAGACGGAAGTTGTAAACTAAAGAAGTAGTAGGGGAGCGAGGGGCTTGCTGTAACAATTTTTAGAAAAACGAATATAACTTTAAATCTATCTTGTAAAGATAAGGCTGATTTTGGCAAATGATATATCCTTTAAGAAAATAACGGTTGGGTGGGTGGGGCTAGTACTTGTTAAGGTAAGGCTGATTTTGGCAGATGATATACGCTTTAGGAAAATAGAGGGTGGGTGGGCGGGGCTAGCATTTGCTAAGATAAGACTAAACAATAGCAAGAGTAGTACTAGAATGAAGAAGGGGGTGTAGAAAAAGTAAACCCAGCCTCCCCCGCCATCTATTTTCTCTAATTCACTGATTTATGTTATGAATTCTATTTTGAAAAATGGTAGAATCTAAGATTTTAAACAAAGTCAGAAGTGGCCCCGCCCACCCACCCCTATTCCGTTTTGATCACTCATTTTACAAGCTCTGGGACGGAAGTTGTAAACTAAAGAAGTAGTAGGGGAGCGAGGGGCTTGCTGTAACAATTTTTAGAAAAACGAATATAACTTCAAATCTATCTTGTAAAGATAAGGCTGATTTTGGCAAATGATATATCCTTTAAGAAAATAACGGTTGGGTGGGTGGGGTTAGTACTTGTTAAGATAAGGCTGATTTTGGCAGATAATATACCCTTTAGAAAATAGAGGGCGGGTGGGCAGGGCTAGCATTTGCTAAGATAAGACTGAACAATATTAAGAGTAGTACGAGGACGAAGAAGGGGGTGTAGAAAAAACTAAACATAACCCACCCCCCCATCTCTTTTCTCCATTTCACTGACTTATTTTATGAATTCTGTTTTGAAAAACGGTAGAATCTAAGATTTAAAACAAAGTCAGAAGTGGTACCGCCCACCCACCCGTATTCCGTTTTGATCACTCATTTTATTGGCTCTCAGACGGAAGTTGTAAAGCTATCGCTTCCTTATAAAAAACCCTGTGGGAGCTGATAAATTTATGGTTTACACAACCAGCAGCATTCTACTCGAATTGCGGGATCAAGGTAACAGTTGAATTTTGGGTAAAAAGGTTTGGGAGAAATTTTAGAAAGTATCTTGTAGGTTTTTAAATGTCGTTTCACCTACTCTCCCTGGAG